ACCCTTAGCAGGATGCAGCGCACCCTTCATGCGACTCGCCGAATATCTCACGGCGCTTCGCGCTTGGTGATGTGAGAGCCTGGTCCGGTGAGGACCCGGTGTGCTCCGTCCCGTCTTGTNTTTTCGGCCTGGTCCCTTTTTGTCCTCGCTCTTTTTCATTTTATTTTCTTACCTTACGGTTCCCTTTTGTTTTTTCTCTTCTTCTTCTCTGATTTTTTTTTTTTCTCTCTTGTTCTGTGCCAGATGGCCCCTTTTCTCTGCTTGCGGTGTGAAGTACCAAGATTGAACCAAGGGGGTGTACCTCATTCTCTCCGGCCCGTGATGGTGACTCCTAGTCTCAGTTGTTACCTCGCATAGCGCCCAGAGGGAGTGGATGACCCCAGAATATCTATCGTTGATTTCTTTTGACTTGCGGACCCCTCGGGGCCAGTATTTGAGTGTACCTTTTTAGGGTTAGTTAGCCTGCGACCCCGGGAATCGACCGCGTCAAATCTTGGATCAGTGCGGACATACGAAGGTACTGGGTAGAGAGAGTTCGGAACGATTTTTAATGTGAAGACAACGATAACAACAACACCTCAGCAGTACAAATCATTCCGAGTCCCGAGTGGCAAACGACGGCTGCGGTGGGTTCCTTCTTTCCTTCGTTTCCCAGCGCGTCGCACGGGATAGGTACCCGACGAGGTGCATGCGTGTCGATGGGGCAATATATGGCAAAGGAGGTCCGTTTCCTTTGGTGTAAGCAAATATTAAAACGAAAACCGTCGATCTCTCTGCCCAGTACCTTCACCTGCCCAATCTTTGATCTGCCCGCGTATGTATTCTGGTGGAAGAAAATGTAACGACCGCCGCTGTGTCGGAACAGGATCGATCCCGTGCAAGAGGATGGAAGGATGAATACTGCACGCAACAAGCACAACTCCGAGTGAGTGGGGAAGAAACGAAGATGAAAATGAAGATGATGATGAGAGATTAGGCGAGCATGAAGTAAGTCAACGATGGAGGAGGCAATGCTTCTTGTGAAGTAGGAGAAGAAATAAGGGACGGTGGTAGAGGAAGTGGCATGAGAAGTAGGCCTTCGATCCACTAGGTGTTCCATGTACTTGCGTCGGTAATGCCATGTTATGTATGCGTGCGTGCGTATGTTCGGGAATAGTCAAGGTCACTATTAGAGCAACAATCAATTGTAACTACAGATAGATGGCGTTGCACTCAAGGAAAATCTTCTCCGCTCACCTACGTACCCCCCCCCCCGGGAGGGCCCAAAACAAGAAAAAAAGTACTGCCTTTGCCATTTTTTTGTTCTGATTCATTGACGTGTGCGTCGTGTAGTGTACGAAAACCTTTCTTTCTGTTTGACCTGTAGTGTATGTATGAAACATTGCCACTACAACAGTACTGGGCCCTCCATAGTGCGGGGTTGGTTGTGTCCTGAAATTTTACCGGCACAATACCGGGCACCGGCACCATTCAGAATGATAGTGCCTCATAGCGCCGGTCCGACACTAATATTATTGAGGGTTGGAATATCCCTCAATATAGTGCCGGTCCGGCACTATTGAGCGAGGAGGTGCTTGAGTTCATGATGTGGCGCTCACGCTTTGCGGGGCCAACAGAATACGAAATGGATCGAAAAAATGCGTATTAATACTAATGGTGGACGAAGCTAAATCTCAATCCTCGTTGCCCTACTTCGATGTTGCAAGATAAACAACAGACAAACGAAAGAGAAACACAACAGAAAGCGAGCTGCCAAAAAACAAACAACGATGTACCGCCCACCCTCACTGCATACTATACGTCGCGACAAAGCTCTCCTTATGTCTGCCTGGCGCACCCGCTATGACATGTTGCAGGAAACAACAACAAAAATTGACCAAGAAAAGCACGACAGGAATTGTACCACACGAAAAACAAACAACAATCAAGTACCGCCAACCCTCACTCCGTCGCGACAAACTCTCTCAATGTCTGCCTAGCGCACCTGCTTCGATGTTGCAAGAAAAAAAATACACAAGAAAAGCACACAGGAAGCACACCGCACGAAAGACAACCACCACATGCACCCCCCGCCCTCACTCGTCTCGACAAACTCTCTCATGTCTGCCTGGCGCATCCGCTTACCTACTTATCGGTTAAAAAATGCAGCCTCGAAAAAATCAACTCATGAACTTGACCATAAGAACACGGGGTAGCTGCAAGATAACAACTCATGAAGGTGGTGAGTGGTGACCCATGGGGTGTCCGGTGACCCCACCCACCGGCAGTTTCAGATCAGCGGCGGGGAGGGGAACTCCGTTTCAAACAATACTTGCGCGGAGGGCGGGGGGGTGGGGGGGGTGTACTCATAGTCGTGCATGCCGTAGTCGTTAGACCGTTGACCTCGCATCCCTACAAAGCCGGGACGGAGCACACCGGGTCCTCACCGGACCAGGCTCTCACATCACCAAGCGCGAAGCGCCGTGAGATATTCGGCGAGTCGCATGAAGGGTGCGCTGCATCCTGCTAAGGGTGTTCGGCATCTTGTGCTTACTTCCTTGCGTACGGATGACAGCTGCGTATGACTTAATTTATTTTCTGGTGCTTTCACTTCCAGAGACAGTTGTAAGCACTGTGTAACTGCCTCGAGGGTGCTTGACCATTTTAACACAACGTGGTGCGATCATCCCCCTTGCGCGGAGTGAGGGGTCTCGACCCTGCACAACATGATCTACTCGACCATCATTATGGTTTCCGCAAAAAACCAGAGGGAAAACGNAGGGTGCGCTGCATCCTGCTAAGGGTGTTCGACATCTTGTGCTTACTTCCGTGCGTACGGATGACAGCTGCGTACGAGTTAATTTATTTTCTGGTGCTTTCACTTCCTGAGACAGTTGTAAGCACTGTGTAACTGCCTCGAGGGTGCTTGACCATTTCAACACAACGTGGTGCGATCATCCCCCTTGCGCGGAGTGAGGGGTCTCGACCCTGCACAACATGATCTACTCGACCATCATTATGGTTTCCGCAAAAAACCAGAGGGAAAACGAAACGGTAACAACCTGGTTGCCGAGTTCACGAAGTGAATTGGCTTGTTTTACAACGTCTTTGCCAAGCGAAGAAATCCCAATCCCGGTGGCAAATACCGAGGGGGGGAGGGGGGGCGTACTCTTATGTTGTGCATATCTTAGCCATTGGACCATTGGCCACGCGTCCTCGAGCGGACGGAGCATTGTTCCCACAGGAGGACCGATCACCGATGGCCAATCGTTCCTTCCTACTTTTGCCAAAGGTCTCTCAAAAGTGTTTTCCCCAGCCTATCTTTCTTATCGACATCACTTCCCGTCGCTTCAACCCACGTTCAATACCCCAGTACAGCTACCATCTTCTCCTGGATATTCCATGCCTCAAACATATCTCTCCCTGTATCTCCCTCGCTTCTTTCCCCAGCTCAGTCATGTACAATTTCCTCTCCTTCTTGTGCAACAAACATTCCGCAACTACATGAACGAACCCGGTCTTCATGCTCGGAGCCGCGCTCACATTTTTTTTAGGTCGGTGCGGAGGGAGGGGGTGGGGTAGGTGGTTAGTTTTGTTGACCTGTCGCGTGACATAGGGGTGCCTGCCACGCTGCGCGTGCCATCCATGCACGAGAGCCATGTCTTTACCCCTTGAAACATTGAAGCTCAGTCAACTGTCAAAGTTGAAAGGGAGAGGTGTCATTCTTGATCAACACTTACTTCGAGGCCATCCAATAACATGCCATTGCTGACAACTACCCACACGAAGTCAGATTGGGAGGCCATCGAGTCGAAGCAGGTGCGACGAATGCTTACCGATACTTCTTCCTTCGTCGCACCCACCGGTTTTCGAAGTCAAGCGTCTAAACTCGATGCTCTTGAAAGTTCGTTGCTGCAGCGTGGAGTACTCGTTGAACTGAGCATGGGCTGGTTAGGCTCGCTGATCACTCGGCAGTCTCAGGAGCCTACCCGCTACCTTTACGACTACCGTGCGCATCTCGACCTAGACCAAAGTATGCGCCATATGAAATTGCCGTTGGACAAGTACAATGGATATGCGGGTGCGGTGGTCTAGGGTCGTGGGCTTCGCTTGAGGGGAGTGACGCAGAGCAGGGAGGAGGTCCGGCCATCGAAGAGCAGGGTGAAGGTCACAATGTGGCTACGACGGGCGTTCGTAGAGCGGGGAGGACAATCACGCCAGATCTAACCTTGTGGACCTCCAAATGGTTCAACGTTTGCTCAGATGCGTCATTATGTCAGGCGATGCTGTATTTCGACCCTTTGGTGATCGATCGCGGAAGCTGCGGTACGTCGGGTCCAGAGGTCTCTGTTGAGCGACGTTCTATTGTTGTACCCTGTTTTTCTATGAACACGCTGCTCTCAAGTGTCGGACTGAATTCACCCAGAGAAACAACCCCGTGTCCTCTGAATGGGGCCCTCCGCGTAGAAATTAGAACACGGACGAACCCCGTTTATGATAAATATATACGGATGGATATGAAAATACGAGCAGGTGCTCAATTTGAGGCAGCCAATAATAAGCATCGAGCCTCGGCCAACATATATATGCGGTTTTTAAGTGCGGGCGCCAATCTGTACAGAACGGGCCCGGAGATAAGAAACGTCAAATCGGGTCTTCTAGCCTCAATCTCTAATATTGGGTCTAAGAATCAGCCGAAGTCGTCCATTTGGGCTGTCGCATCCTGCTTTCATTTTCTTGTTGTTCATATTTTCTTAATTCTCCGCGACTTGTGACGGTACAGCAGTACAGCAGCATCAGTGGGTAGCGCAGCTCGCGGCGGCGCGGGGGCGCGGGGGGCGCCGCGAAAACAACCGCTGTCCCCCCCTACCAAAAACATACATACATGCTTAGGTAGGAGGTGGGAGCATGGCAGCAGCGCAGCAGTAGCAGTGGGACGTTTCTTCTTGGACACGCTCCCCAGTGTCAGGAAAATCGTGCGTCGAGACCACCAGTAGTCGGACACGGTTTGTTTGACCTTTGAATACGATTGCAGCAACTAGTCTGCGTAGCAGTAGAAAATAATCCATCTCTCCGTGGCATGGATTCTCTTGTTCTAGAAATATTCCGGAAGCATACTAGTTCAAGGTTGACCGGGACATTTACGTAGAACATGTGTAGCTTCTGCAAGCCTTCTGGAAACTTCTGGTTCCTTCTGTAAGCTTCTGGAAGAGTTCTAGATCTAGGTTGCAGTTGATACTCTTCTAGAACGTAGGAGGGCTTCCAGGAATCATTCTGGAAGCATTCTGGATCTTTCGTGTGATTGGCTTATTTTTTGTCCGGTATTCGAGAAGAGTGGTGCAGCCCCAAGCTCGCCCACCACTCTCCCTCCTCTTCAGTACCAGCAACATCTGACTCGGGAGTCAGCGATTAATAAAAATATCTTCATATTTCTATTCCAAGTCTCGCGGTTGGAGCCGCACAGAGTGTGAACCTCTGAGCGAGGTAGGCTACACGCCCACCGGCATCTGCAGCATCGTTCTTCTGCAGCATCGTACTGCTGCTAGTGCACAGCGAAATATACTCTGTCTGACACCCAGCTACCCCTTGTTTCTTATATGTGTTGGGGGTATCGCACGGTCATGTTTCTGATTGGGACGTTTCTTATGTTGTGATCGAGATTGAGCTGTGTTTCTTATAGGGCCGTTTTAAACTGACCGACTTTTTGTCAAAATGTTTGAAAGTGTCAAAAAAATAGAACCTGTATGTAGGCGTTTGTCCATATTTTCAAAATATTTGGAACGAAGTTGGGCGCGAAAACTTTGCTCCACTTCGTTCCAACTTTTTGACAACCCTCTCAAAGTATTTGGAGCACTTTCCAAAGTACCCTTGCAGAGGCACGCGAGGGCTGCTGCGTCTGCACCACGAGTGCCCCTCACCGTAGAAAGTCAGCTAGGGTTGTGTGTGGGTCATGGCCGACCGTAGAAAGCGCGGCGCGCCTACAGATTCGAGCGGCTCTCCTCGCCCACGGGCACGCGCAATACAAAAAAAAAAAACGGCGGTCCGCCATGATGGCTTGCAGTTGTTGCTTCGCGTCCGCCGCTTTGTTTTTTCCTTTTCCCGGGGGGGTAGGAGCAGTGGTTGCCACCCCTCGCCGGCGGAGTGTTGGTGGCGGCAGCGCCTCCCGTGGTAACATGAGTGTTCCCCGAGATGCCAGGCAGCAGCACTATCTTGCTGGAGAGCAAGCCTCCACCGCCTACGGCGGCACCGAGAGAGCCCGTCTGCTGGAATTTCGCCGGGGTTTTGGTCTGCCGGCCACGCTGGGTGGTCGTGATATCCATGTCGGTGTCCATGATGTCGTGTTTTCCGCGGTTTGTGTTGTGTCGTCTGTGTTGTCTCGAAATGAGCGCTACAACTCACGGACGGCGTCATTTTTTTTTACACAAGTTGCACAAGTCTACGTCACACGTTTAAAATGACTGCACACAGGTTCCAAGTTTTTGAAAGACAACTGTCGAAAATTTTGACAAAAAAGTCGGTCCGTTTAAAACGGTCCTTAGTTCTTTTTCTTATTTTTCGTGAACATTTGAGCCTAATTTTCTTCGCAGATTTTTCTTACTTGTTGCCCGTTCTGTTTTCTAACCCTTCACTAATTGGGGGGGTATCAACGGCAACAACAATTATCCAAGCCTACTGATGCAGCCTGAGAGGTACGGACAGCTCAACTCCTCCTTTTTGACGTCTCACTTGAGGATCTGCTAGCTAGCTTACTTCACCGGCCAACAGCAGTATCCCAACCATTTTGACATAGCATACAGATTTAAATATATATATATATATATATGCACGACACCACTCGTAGTAAGGTATTTAACTCTCAAGCCCTAGGACTAAAGTTTTGTTGTTGTTGTTGTTGTTGTTTCTCGCATTATTATTAGCTCTATTGTCCACACAAAAAATGGGGAGCCCGTGGTCTATGGACAGTTGGAGTTGTCCTCGAGCCACCAGGACTCCTTTCCCCCAAGGGGCTGGTGATGTTTGTTTCTTCACTTGTATTATATCATCGATCACAAGATAGGAGGAGTGGAACACAAGACGGAGAGTCCACACAATCCTCACACACAGGGTATGGCCCCTGTGATATCTTCACACACGGAGTCCCCAAGATCTCCGTAGAACCTTCCTACACTGTGACTACCACGGCCAATGTCCACAATGCCCCCAAAGCGCATACTACATTCCAATCGTAGACACTATGTGCTTGACAAAACAATGGTAGGCACATACTAAATGATGCGAAACCACATAATCACACGCTAAAATTTTATTCAATCCTAACGCGTTTGTTTACACTAAACACCATATTCGCCTGATTTCGTGTTACTAATTATTTCATCATTAGTCTATACTGTGTGATGGCGTCTTCAGAAACAACTACAAAAACCAAGACAAACATATAAATGAACAATGCTATCTTGCGGTAGTAAGATTTCCTCGCCCTTTTCCACGCAACTTCAACTCATTTGGCCGTTAAAAAACGATACCATATTCCTTTTTTATGTTGTCCTTGACTTCCTTGGATAGCTTCATCTTGCGCAACTCTTGCTTCAAAAACTGCGGCGCATCCTGGTAAATATCCGAAAGTGGTTGCCAAGTGTCTTCGTCCTCCTCGAACCCAGCCCACCGCACACGAACAAGATATCCCGATCCATCATGAGCTGGTCCAATGTTGAGAATAGATTCCATTTCATGTTCGCCTTGCCCGAAAGAGTGTTGGAACACGTCTTTGAGATCGGATGTGACGTTCAGTTCCGAATCGGCGTAGAACCGCAGACGAGCCACATGGACATCGCGGACCTGCCCATTAACGATGTTCTGAACACCGTAAACGTGCTTTTTAGCGGCCGATACCACGCGCCAAGGACCAGTCCAAGTAGAGGACAATTTGGGCGTGATTCCGCTGCGACGGACACGTGCCACCATCACATAGTCTCCCACCGTAAATGCTGGTAAATCACCGCGACTTGCCGCCGCACGTTGCCTGGCACGATTGTGATCCACCTTCTGTTGAACTTGTTTGTGCAGAACCGCTTGAGTCTGGATCACATTTTGGACTTTACAAACATTGCAACACCCAAGCGGTATGTATGGTCAACGCGAGCCAAACACCGCAACAAGTATAAACCTTGAAAACAAGGGACTTGTAAATTGTCTTGTGGGACAGTCATCTGCTCGTGAATGATAGGAGACACGGGGGCAATCACCAAATGAGGTGAAGTCGAGTTACTTACAACATAGTGACTCCGGAACAATCTATCAGGTATGAGTCTCGGGTATGTGCGGATCCCCTCGTTGTACATAACTCGTGTTTACTCAACACGGCAGCGATGAGGAGGGGGAGACAATCATATTCACGAGCTGTGTCATACCATAAAAGAATGACCTACTCCAATTCCACTGGCATTCCCGCATTCACCTTAGAATGAGCGCCGAAAACCATCTTTAATAAAGATGGATTTTCGGCGAACAAAAAGGGGGGCAATGTGGAAACCTGGATATAGGTATCTTCCTAACGGTACTGACGCACATACAACCAGTGAAGATCGGAGACCCTACGAACACAGTTCTACAGGTCTGCAGATGTTTACAAAGAAAGAACCTCCGCCTGCTGTGACCAGCCGGAGCATGAGGGAGCCCACCAAGGCTCACTCTCTCACCTTTCACCCTAGCAAGGCTGACTAACGCCAGCCACGCTTGGCCATTCCTTGCCACATTGCAATAAGAGCGAAATTACCTCCGCTGGTGAACGGTTATTCACCACTTCAGGGACCTTGGCTCATAACGGAGCAAGGGTATTCTCACTTCGGTACGTTTCGTTTCGCTTTCGGAAACAAAATGTCAAGAAACGACACAAAATCCCGTCCTGTGGCACACAGGGCCACAGTCTACATCGTGCGCTGCAAGGCAATACCCTACAGCTATCAGCTCCTGCAGAATGCACAACCCTCCCGCCTCCACGTCTTGAGGTTGAATTACCAGGGTATCAGTGTCACTACTCCTGGGCTCACTTGCCCTCACGACGTGTCTACCCTGGATTAACTCTGTTGCCGCCCATCACACACCTGTTCTCGGTCGTCGGTGCACGACATTTCACAACATCTCGAAGGGTCGATGGCAGGACTCTGATTTGTTCAGCACAGTGGACTACCATAGACGTCCTCCGCGACCTATTTCCTGTTGACTCCCAAGTTATTTGTACCTTTCTCGGGCCAGTTGTGTCACGAGAAGAATAAGCCATGCACAACAAGAGGGTAGCGCGAACTCTTCACCATGGGGCATCATGGTCTTGTTTGCTGACAGCGGTGGGGTTTTACCTAGACTCTTACCTGTCTTCCTAGTGATGACGATCTTATTCTACGTTGCGAACCCTGAACCCGCCAATCCCGAGAGTGTGCCTCGAAAGCTGTCACAGCAGACTATGTCCGCAACGAGTCACACTCTGTAAGGAGGCCGGCCACACGACTCCGACGATTGGTTGGTTGAAATTCGATCCAAATACATACCAAGATCGTAATCAACCCGGTTCCCAACAACGTCATGTGAATTTACGATTACCTTCGGTTTTCTTTCGTTTCTTTTCGTTTTCCCATTCTATTTTCCGATTTTCTCATGGTCTCGGTGCGTGTGCCTTGTTCGTATACGGTTCTAAACGATCTACCGTAGGCAGCATAAGATACCACTCCCAACAACATATTCGCCTGATTGAGAGCGTAGCATCTGATTGAGAGCGAGATTGCGCGATACGCTGTAGCCGGACTACCACTGAGAGGTGGAGCTTGCTGTGTAGCTTGAATTGAAGGGCTAGCCCGTAGCTTCAAGCCGCTACCCTGGTCATCCTGTGGGAGTCTCTCGTTGTGGAGCTACAGCGGGGAGCAGAAGCTACAGCAGAGCCCACCGCCCGACGCGATACCGCCCTGAAACAGTTTGAGCAGAAATAGCCAATCTGGGCAAATCTAGCAACTTGTCTAGCTCCTCGCTGCAGCATCCGATGACGATGACACGCATATGCTCGCGAAGCTGCTGATGAGACCTTCAATTTGCACCGCTTCTTGGAATAGCCCGTCCCCTACTTGCCAAGAAATGGCAAGAGGCGTCTGGACCCGAAATTTCAATTTTTTTGGCTCTCGCTCTCAATCAGATACTTCGCTCTCAATCAGGCGAATATGTTGCTTCCCGTGTAATAACGTTAGGTTCACTGATTGTTTCAGGGGTATTCGAAAGGGGAGGTGTTCTCTGGTGTGAACCATGTGATGAAGTGCATGCAAAGGACTCCACCCCACAGGGTGTGATAGATGGGGTGTGATAATGTCATGCGTGGGATAGAGTTCGCCCACACGACCCCACCGACAGGTGGTGTCATAGCAAACGGCTGTCACATGTAGATACAAGTAGGGCCTAACAACGTGTTGTGTGTTTTCGTCCTATTTATTTTGGCGACAGTCCCCCCATGTTTCGTGGTGAGACGTGTACTACACTTTTCAGCGAATGTAGAGTAGACTACTACACTTTTCAGTGTATTTTTTCGTACAACTACAACCATCCAGGGTCACACAGGAGGGGGTATACACCAGGGTTTTTTTCTTCTTTTATTTCTTTTCATGCCCCACCTTCCTCCTGCGGTGCGTGCTCGATTTTGTCATCGCGAGAAGGGTCCAGCCGTCCCTTTCCCTCGCCAACGGTGCTAACGTCGAAGTTTGGTGCTTTACGAGAGCTTTTTAGCTACATTTCGCTTTCACCCGCAAATCTCGTAAATTTTTCACCCCATGGGGATTCGAACTCACAACCTCTGCAACTAGCGGATTACGAGGATACCACTAGACCACCGGGGCGACCGGTTCAGTCAATACCACCCGGGGATGAATTGCGACCGAAATATACAGTAGCTGTCGCTACAACGAGCGACAGCTGATTCATTTAAGTGTTGTAAGACATGTGCGTCCACAGGAGGAACAAAGTGCATGTGATTGCAAGGGCACCGTAGGTGGAAGAGAGCTGATCCATGGGAATTCATCGGTTACCGCGACGGCGCTGAAGATGCCCATGTCCGTGCACTGCACCCTCATGCTCTGTGCTAACTCGTGTCTCCCGCCGGCGCCTCGCAGACTCTCTCTCTCGGTTAGCCGCCCGCTGTTCTGGTGTCGGCGGCTACCCGCGCTGCCTAGCGGCGGCTCTCTGCCAGTCCGCCCGCAGTCTGTCTGTATGTATGTTCGTTTCGGAGTGCTTTCGCCATCATCCTTTGTGCTTTCAACTCCATCGTTCTCCACTGGTATAGCGGTTTTCCTCGCACTTTCTTCTGCATGGCACACAGAGGACCCGTCCGTACATTACCCGTTAATTGGGGCTCGCGAGACACCGGTGGTGCGCTCGGGTCGCTTAAAGTCACTGGGAGTGGCTAGTTTTTCAGGGGTTGGGGATCCGAACTGTAAAGACTCGAACGGCATGAAACCTGAAAACAGGATTTTTTTTCGCCCCGCGGCACGCGGCACGCGCCCACGCGGGCCCATACAGCTGCTGTGATTGTTGTGTACACAACCACCACATAGCAACTGGCGCATGCGTACCCACGGCGGGGGCCAAGACTCTTGATGTTTCTCATGGGAACACACCGCGACACAGAAATTCTCACGCACAACTCTGGCAGCGGTTACGCAAATATTTCAATTGCAAAAAATCGAAAAATTTACGAAAATTCAGTAGAAGTTACGTTTGGTCTGTTGCAGTCACACACATCTGTGTCTGTTCTTGGGCACGTTGAGCGTCTCATTGATTAGTTGTTGGTGTAGTCTATGCGTGAAAACGTCCCACAAACCATGAAAAACACGATCACACAAGATGAAGGGATCCAACGTAGAGAATTGCAGCAGCAGGACCTGCAGCAAAGACGCCGCTAGCCTAAAACCACTCATTCGCGCACAAGCGAAAAGTCACGGCCGGAGATATCAAAATACCCCGCTCATGATGCAAATTCTAGGCTAGTTAGTATACAGGGCAAGCCGGTACTACCGAACGTCATGAAGACCAACCATGCGACCGCGAAGGCATTGATTGGCCATACCCTCTTGCTTCGCCCCCGGGAGGAAAATCACCTAATTCCTGCAGGGGAACCTTGTAATACTAAAGTACGGAACAGTTTGATTCTCCACGGTCGTTGCTGCTGTGTGTTGCTGTTGTTTTGGTGCATCGGTAGTTCGTTGTCTGAAAGGCCCCAAAAACCGATCGCACATCCGCTCTATTCATGCGTCATCAGCCCCACAAACAAGTCGTCAGCTACTCTACAAGCTCTCGTGCACCACTGCTGCTGTGCTACTTGCGATCACCGCTGTACATCAGTCATGGAGTCTTCAGGGTGCTCGAGCTACGTATCGCTGCTGCTGGTGGATGTTAGATGGTTGATGCGCGTCGTTGCTGCCTGTGTGGTCTACATGGCCAGAGTTTTAGTTGGCCTGGGTGTGTTGTGAAATTATTCATGGCCAGCAGCCCTCTTGTTGAGCGTTTTGAGCTCTTTTTCTTCGACGAGGTAGACTGTCAGGCGGCTTGTGTTTGAAACTCTATATCACCTGTGTGCGGCACACTTTCATTTTTGTGTGAGTTCCTGTGTCTCACCCTCAAGCAACTTTAGAGGGAAGGATTGCTGCTCTTTTTTGCCACGAGCAGCTCAAAACCAAGAAGAAAAGCGCCTACCGTTTCGACTCTCTTGCCATGGACCCAACATTCCATGTCTGCTGTACAGTGTCACCGGTACTTGTTGTATGCAACGCTAGTGATAGTGGACTACAAAGCCTACCTGTAGACTTAGTGCATACAGCAGTAGTAGGAGCACTTCATATTTCACGAACGACCAACGAACACCATGCAAGTTCTCCTTTGTGTCAGATCAATTCTGGGTTTCCCCGCTGACTCAAAAAAGACCAGTTCAGCGATTTTCACTAGTCCGGCCCGAAAAAACACCAGTTCGGCTATTGCGCCGCTGAGTCTTACGGCGTGATTATTTCGGAGATTTTTTTTTTCTCTCGGACGGGGGGG